GTCATTGAATGCAACTGCAACGAGAAAAGAGAACGAGAAAGATGATCCATCATCATCGTGGAATAACTTGTTCTATCATTCTCTTGGTAACTACTCATGTCAGAACGTTTTCGTGAATAATAGTTTATTAAGAACGAAAAAAGCTACTGTGTCTTGATTTTATTGGGAGCTTGAAAAATTATCGAATATGACGGAGGAAAAAAGATTTTTTGGTGAAAGGATTTCTGACTGAGAAAGCAAATAATAATTGTGATTTCGAGCTGTTAATATAGAAGATTTCAGGTTTTGAAGTGTAGAATTGGAAATTGCACGTGAACGATTTGAATGTTTAAATAATAACGAAGAGGTGGAGTTAAGGATTTGAAATATAGTTTTAGTGCAAATGGTTTTCGGAAGTTCAAGACATTCTTGAGTAGTTAGAGTAACTAATTCTGAGTTTCTTCAACAAATTCTCAAGGATGTGTTTATCGAAATTTTAACTGATTCATATTTTAAAATACAAGTTCATGAATATATTTAATAATTATGATATAATTATTATATTACATATATATTATATTATTATATACATTAGATTATGAATATAATTAATATATTATATAATTATTTAATAATTTCTCAAAAATCTAAATAAATCAACACTCTTTCTTGAATAACACTCAAAATACCTATTTTTCCTAGACTACACATTCTCACGCTTTCAACCCCTTATTCATAATTCCTCTTACCGACCACTAAACTAATAACGTTTTTCCAATAATTCCAAAACGTAACATACCCAACTCCAATTAAAAATATTCAATAAAAAATTTGAAATATTCGAAAATGTTTACATCACACCATTCCCAAGAAAAAAATTTAAAAAATGTTTCCAAAGTACAATAACGAATGTACAAAAAAATGGAAAATATTTCCAAAACACAATACCAAATATACAAGAAAAGGATGAAGATATTTCCAAAGCACGATAACCCATAAAAAAGCAGCACTTGTTGCAATTAAAATCTAAAAGCCTCAATTGAGATGTGTATCGCACAAATGCTAATTCCCAAGGCAAGAGGTTAATTACTAATTACGCCCCACCGTTCCTTCTTCTGACGTATTCTTCGGACTTTTTCTCATTTCTGTTTTCGAGCGGTGACATCATCTACCAACGAACCGGGCCGTTTCTTTCCGCCGGTTGACGGTTCTAAGGAACGCTGCTAGTTGACACCCACGGCCGCCGATGAGATCAACCGACTGCTCTCTCGCGCGCGCGCGTGGTGCGTTTTAATTACCGTGAATCCGTGGGTGTTCCGCGCGGCTGAGCCCGTTTTAAAACGCCGCGCACGAGGAAATCGCGCTGCTTCCCGTCGTGTCGTCTGTTTAATTATTTATCAGGCCGTGTGTTCCCAGTTACTCAATCAGATCACGGCTTCTTTTATTTCTTTTCGTCGCTCCCATTAACCTTTTTCACGCGCCGAGCGCAATTGTTTTAACGATTACGGACGATCGCTGTGGAACTTGTGCCAGCGCGCGCGGAGGCGGAGGGGAGGAGAGGGAGCATCGCTGTTTTACGGACGCCACAAGTGTCCCGTACCAATACGACCGGCCCAGGACAATTAACCCCTTGGCTTGTGATTTGTTTCGCGATTAGGAGAGTTCCGATTATTTTTATGTAATCGTTTTTATAGAGGGGGATGAAATTTTGGATTTGCCTTCAGTGTTTGTTTAACCCTCTGTCAGCCGAATTTTGTTTCGCGATTATAACAAAATTTATGCAGTATGAAATTAATGAATATCAACATATGAACATAAATTAACAATGTATTCGATAGTTTCAACAATTTTATTGAAACGAATATATTTTGTAGCTTTGAAGTTACAATGACGTTGAACGTAAACGCCCGTGTGTACAAAAGTTTAAGTTGGTTAATTATTTAACGTCGTTTGTCATTTTGCAATAAAAAATTAAATACGTCAATTTAACTCGGTATATTGATGTGTGACTTCAAAGTCACACGAGCCTATAGAGGGTTAATGGAGGGATGTTGTGTTTGTGAGCTTGAGATGCTGTTTTGTGAACTGCACAGTAAGTTATTAAATGAAGTTTAATGTTACAAGGTAAGTTATATGTAATGTTGGACAAATTAAATATAGTTTATTATTATAAGATAAGGGATAATTTCTAATATTCCTATAAGCGTGTTAGTTCTTTCATTTGTGATTTGTTTTGCGACTGGAAGGGGAGATATTATTTTACTAACAATCGATCTGCAGTAGGGGATGAAATTTTAAACTTCTTCTGGTCGAAAATAGTATTTCGTTATGTAGAGAATATTTATATTTGTTAAGATTATTTTAATTTTTTAATTGTGTATAAGGGGGTGGTTTTTATTATTCCTGTAAACATGTAAATCTAAAATAGTATCTCATGAATTAAAAAATACTATAAATAATATCAAAATTAATTGTAAGCCTTCGTTACCTATCTGATTCGATATCATAAGGCAAGGGGTTGATCTCTAATGTTCTCGTCAAAGTACTAACCGCTTGCCTCACTATTTATTTCACGTCACGAAATTGCTTCTCCGTTAATTATTTCACGAAAGAGCAAAGAAAACCTTTATCTTCGTCACAATGTAACATGTAAACCTTCTCACCCCCTGTTTTCCCTATAATTATTTGAATTACCATAATCCTGTTACATGTAAATACAATTTCACACCTTGCCAAATATTTTCACGAAAATCATCATTTCCCACTATAAATAATTAAAGATTACATACCGATGATAACAAACTAGTCTTTCATTTTGATTCACGATTGAAATTCAACCACCTCAATTTCTAAATGTAACATTCTCCCCTCGTATACACGGTTAACAGAAAGTTTCTAAACACTGCAAAAGTCCATAGATGGGCTACAGATTTCTGAATAAGTCTTGACGAGAGAGTTCATTACTCCCTGAACAGGACGATATCTGCAGCCAGGGATCTCGGCCTTTGACTCTTGTTCCGGGTGTGGACGAGCCACGTTGCCGGCTGTTGGATCTCTTCCCGTCGTTCTTCGCGGTTGTTGGATCCATTGGATCCTAATCTCGATACATCAACACACAGTAAGCGTTCTGTGTCTCCTTAAACCCTCCATTTCATTTTTAGATTTTTATTGTGAATTTTACTCCATGCTTTCCACTCACTCGTTCATTTTAATCTCTTTGGTTGGACTACGATTTCGGGAACACCTTGTATATGACTGGATAAAGTGAATTATATATAGAAACAATAATTGAGATACTTGATTTCTCGAAGGAAGTTACAATTCGTTTTCTATAGTCAGAAAATATAGAGGGGTTGTTGCCTTTAAGTAGGGATGAATCGGATCACCCTGTATAGGAATCTCCTATTGAATGTACAAGTGGGATAGTAACAGGATGAATAGATTTTTCAATACTTTGGTATATTCAAGCTCTTCAATAACGAAAATACCGCCGAAACGTTGAAATTCGTGAAATATGTCAATTAAGTTCAGCCAGAGAATCATCAGATTAACAAAGTTTAAAATAAAAAGGTCTATTCGTTAGATAGAATTGTATTCAATTAAGCGTTGTCCATTGTGTTCAGTAGCATTCAACCATCCCCCGACGTATTTATTCGCAACATTTATTCAGTACAATATTCATAAAAGTTCACTGAGAATTTATTTAATTTAAAATTTACTTCATTTATTGAGCATTATAAAGAGAAATTATAAAGAAATCACAGCGAATAATTATTAAAAAGAAAAATACCGCGATATTTTGATCAATAATAAATAAATAATAACAGTAACAGATCAGTAATAAATAAAATATAAATAAATAGTAACAGTAACAGATCAGTAATAAATAAAACATAAATAAATAACCAAAATTAAAAATAAAACAAAATCTCCCAACAAGAACGTTCGAAATTTCATTAACAAAAACCTTCCAACTGTCTCTTCCTACAATATACCGTATGTCCCAAAAGTACCATCAAGAACTTCCATCGCGTAGGATGTCCATATTGGAACTACAAATTGAACAATTCGACCATGAATATCTGAAGGTCCGTTTATCGCGCTTAAGTCATCGGTAACCGCAGCTTCCGGTCGATTTCCTCTTCACAAGAGCTTCAATGGAATATTCAATGAAGCTGGAGGAAAAAACAAAACACCGTCGCGTGGAAATTCATCGAATCCGAACAATTCGGCGGATGAGACGACAGAAAACACGTTTGGCCGTTACACAGTCGAATCGCTAATCTCTGGGAAGAATAGAACAAACGCGGACGCCTACTCCGCTTCTCTCGCGCGCCGGGAATTACGTTTCAGGACTAAGCGGGGTCCTTGTAACGTTTCGCGAGACGCGAATTCTCAGCGGGCCGCGCGATTATGTTGCACCGCTCGCGGAAATTCACTTCTCGGAACTGGTCTCCGTCATTCCCCGTTTATTAAAAGGAGTTTCTTGGCGTACTGCGACGACAATGCGAGGAATCTAACGAGTTCCATGGGCGTGGAGGTATTTGCTTGGATTAGGTCAGGGTCCATTGTGGATTTCGTCTGAAAGGCGCCGTTGTTTGAGAGTTCTTTTGAGGTTAGACTCTAGGCGGTCGTGCGGTTAGGTTACGTAATTTGGTTACATCTTGGAATTGGAATGAGATTGTAGTTAAAATTGAGGTGGAACATTTTGGGAGGAAGTTGTAGTCCAAATTTGGCTAGGTTTAGAATTTGATAAAAAAAAGTGATAATTCAAATTTGGTTAGGCTTAGCACTTGAAAGAAAATTAGTTTAGTTAGATCTAGAATTTGGTAAGAGAAATTAATGCTCGGGATTTTTATGGGTCTAGAATTAGATAAAAGGCAGTGATAATTTGAATTTGGTTAGGTCTAGAATTTGATAAAAGAAAGTGA